TGATTGCGGGGATATATAGGGTTATGAAATCATAAGGCTTTATGGTTAGCGCTTTAAACTATTATGAAGTTATACATTTGCTGAAAGACTTATTTGGGGTTTGGGCTGCATCCTTATTGAATACAGTTTTGACGCTAACCTAACTATTCGTTATAACAGTTTGGATTTCAAATTTTAAGAGATTTTTCAACGATTTTGCAAAAATAATCGTTCACCATTATCAATGATAATGTATCATAATACAATACCGAGAACTCATGAAGATTCTGTCGTCTCACACTGACAGACAGAATAACAAGCGCGCGCTTCCTGATGACATAAGGTCACCCTTTTAGTATTTCTAAATATGTACAGCAAAAATTGGCTATAACAACATCTATCGTCAGCAAATTTATTATTAAAAATAACTCTATAAATCTTATTAATAATAGTTTAACTCTTCATCCCACTTTGTTTGCTGTTTTTAAGGAATTCTCACGCTATTCAGTATTACCCACATTATATATTGTAAAGTCCGATTTTTATCTTTGTCAATCAGTGAAAGTTTTTAGATTTGTCAAGTAAAATTGACGTAATCATAAGATTCCAACTGAATTCGCGCTCCAATTATTTTTTCCCAAAGTATTTAGCGCAATTCAAGAGTCGATTTTGTACTTCACTTTTCCTTTAGAATTATTAGAAATCAATGTCTTTTGCCCATACCATATAAAGTAGTAGTATCCGCGTGTAATAAAACTAAATAATAAATGCAAATTAATAGAACATTTGTTTATTCGGAGTTTACTATATTATCCAATTTTACCAAAGAACGCGACGATTTATTTTACCAATTGAAGACGACACAAAGAGAACAATTACACTGGAGTGACATTGAATAATGAATGTTTAGCCTTAGGTAAGACGTAAATGCCGGAAATAAGACAGGATATGTAATATTTTAAAGCGCTTCGTGTACAAGAAAACCGAAAGGGAATTTTAATGAACATATCGATAGAGATATAGCTTAAAAAAATTCCGTTTGTAGAAATTTTGATAACAAATTACAATTAAATGTGTCATTTAAGTTAAAACATTAAATTATGAATTTAAAATAAAACCAAATGGCGTTTTGTCGAATTGAACTAAATAAAGTGTAAAAAGCCTAAATTCCACAGTAAAAAGTTTAAAAGACGCGTTTTGATAACGAATGTTCTTGTGTGAAAATTCATTTACCTTTTTCATTCACTATTAATTATCTCCATTAATTTGGGTTTAGAATAAATAGAGGAATGCGGGAGGCAATTCTAGCTTTACGGTTAAAAATAGAAAAAGGAAAGAGCGCATACATAATAGGATTCGTCGATTTAGAAAAAGTTTTTGACAAGGTTAAATGGGACAAGATGTTAAATATATTTAAAAATGTAGGGATGAGTTACAGTGATATAAGAGTGATACTTAGTTTTTATAAAGAGCAATAGGCAGTTATAGAGCTGGAGCAGCAACATAGCGAAATAAATATTAGGAAGAGAGTCAGACAAGGATGAACACTGTCACTGCTCATTTTTTTTTTTTTAATGTATACATCGAAGACATGATCAATCATTAAAGACAATGGAACTATATGGATAGATATACAGGGACAAAGCATTAGCAGTACTAACTGTTAAGGAGGAGTTAAATATCACTTTAAATAAAATGGAAGCGGTATTGAGACGAAAAATTAGAAGAAGTGACTGATTTTAGGTGTCTAGGAAGTCACATAAGTCAAGACGGAAGGAATAATAGGGATATAAAGTAGAAAATAGCGCAGGGTCGAGTCGCCTTCAATAAAAAGAAGTCACTTCTATGCTCGCGAACGATTAATTTGGAAAAAGATTGGTAAAGGTGTATATATGGAGCGCGGCGCTGTACGGATGCGAAACATGGACGGTGGGCGCTGCCGAAAAGAAAAGGTTAGAAGCGTTCAAAATGTGGTATTACAGGCGAACAGAGGACTCTACGGAAGTCATTAAAAACTAGGCGAGATAGGTTGGTAGGACACCTTTTCAGGCATGAGGGTCTAGTAAGAGCCTTATTAGAGGCAGAAACAGTAGTTAAGAGGAGTAGAGGTAGACCTAGATTAGATTACTGCTCGCAAATAGTTAAGGATGTGGATATGTTTTAGCTTTAGGGATATGCGAAGATTAGCTCAGAAATGGGTGGAGATGCGTGTCCAGTACGATGATGATTATGATAAATTACTTCAAGTTAATGAGATAATGAGGAAAAAATAGTTGCTGTTGTCACACCCTCGTCTGGAATCGAACCTGGGCCCTTTGGCTTTACGCACCAATCATATGACCACTAATTTTTCCTCATTATCTCATTAACTTGAGGTAATTTACACTGGATGAGAAAAGTAAATGAATTTTCGCATTAGTATTGACCAAAATATAATATCAAAGTGATTCATTTAGTGCGAAGGTTCTTGATGTTTTTCATTGGGCAAAATTCTATATACTGAGGTTTGGAAAACTGATACAACTGCAATATGAAAATGCGTCTTAGGTTTTCCAAATGCTTTGATGTGATGGAATTTTGGGTTTTAGCTTTTTAAAGATTCAGCTTGATCATCAATAAAATCATTTAACACTTACTTAATTTAAAACAAAATTTAAGAGCGAGTAAACATACGATTTTGTAATCACTCATTGCCGATAGGTTTGTTTTAATTTTGTCTTTAATTCAAACTATCCGGCAAAATAAAATCTAATCTAAAAATCAATTTTTCTACCCTAATAAATTTTTATTAAATATATTTACTTTTCAGAAAATACTACAAACGGCACAGTGAACGCCATCTGTAGGACGATGCTACATTTTAGGATTACGTATTTTTCTAAATGTAGCATCGTGCTACAGATGGCGTTCACTGTGCCGTTTGTAGTATTTTCTGAAACGCGCTGTTAAGGCAGCAGGTAAAAGTTGGTCTGTGTTCTGTCGGAGCTGTCTGCGACGCGCTGATGAGATCCAAAAAGATCGAAATCGCGATCAGCGTCTGGCAGTTTCGACAGAATAGAGACCACTTCGAATTATTTTATTTTATATTTACTTTATTTCGGCCTGCTTCCAGTGCGTATGTAGGTACTTTAAACCAGTGGAGAGATAAGTAAAGATCATCATTATTCTAATACCCGCGGTAATAAAACGTCTAAAAATATTTAAATAGACCTGCAACATTTTTTTGCTCCGTTTAATGAGTTGACACATTTGAACGAATGGCCTTTTGCCAAAGGATCTTGACACTTATTAGATATTATAATTATTTTGTCGCTATCCCGTTTTGGGCGTTAGTCAAGGTTAGCAGGCCAAAAATTGAAACTGATTAATTATTTATTGAACGAAACATTTTTTAGTTATCGACAACTTCTTAGATACGTCAACGGAAATAATAATGTGGTTAGAGTTATTATTAGAGTGGAATTAACGTCTATAATGATTAGTAGGATTAGTATCTCGAAAAGTTTTTTTTTTTTTTATACAAATATAAACGCTACATGTGTTTATTACTCCTTCAAATAAATAATGTCAGTCTTTATCAAGGATCCTCTTCCGTTAATTTTCATCAATCATTTTTCTATTTGTGTACGTAGTTTGTTATTAAAATTTAATTGATTTTTACTAAAAGTAGACTGAAGAGAATCTTCCACTCTACCCACCGGCTTTGTACTAAGTAGTACAGTGTTTCCGAACGTTGGAACAAGTCCCATGGGGTGGGGGGTAATTTAATTGTCAAGGCAGGGCAGGCAATTCTAAAACGGGCTCGTTTTGAGAGGATTAGTGAGTCCGAACAAAAGAAAATCGAAAAATTGCAAATTACAATGTTAGTCGTCAGTAATCTTCTTCAGGCGTGCTCTTTTGCGTTGCATGGAATTGAAAATTATAATTTATAGGAGGGGAGGAGAGACAAGAATCATAGTACAAATGTTTATAAAAGTCATGGAACAAGAAATAGTAGAAAACACTACACTATAAAACAGATTAGTTACGATAGACTAACGCCCTAACATTAGTAGATGGTAGGAATGTAATATCCAATTTTCTCCTATATTTCACGATGTGCCCTTAAGTATTCCATGACACAAGTATATCGACACAAATTATACACTCAGAATGAAACTTGTTGCGGTCGACTTTTTCGGTAGTTGAGCTTGATTAACAAAATTAAAGACAGTACAACTGTAGAGATAGATGTTAGTATAGAAAAGTAGGGAAAGAGCGAATGTAAAGACAGGAGACGAAAAATTAGAAGAAGTGGCCGATTTTAGGTATCTAGGAAGTCAGATAAGTCAGAACGGAAGGAGTAGTAGGGATATAAAGTAGAGGATAGCATTCGAAATGTGGTGTTACCGTCGATATAGAAGGTTAGAAATGATGGGCTATTAGAAAAAATAGGAGAATAGAAGACTCTATGGAAGTCAATAAGAAATAGGCGAGATAGATTAGTAGGATACCTTTTTAGGCGTGAAGGAGAGACATATTACAGGCAGAAACGGGAGTTAGGTGGAGACCTAGATAACAAACAGTTAAGGATGTGGGATGTTCTAGTTTTAGTGCGTGTCCAACCAGTTTTACGACTAACGACCTTATGATGATGATCAGTTATTGAATAAGTGCTAATATTGGGTTAGAACTTAGCACTAGTACTTTCTGGCAAGAGACCAAGCAATTTGTTTGGTACTGGGTGAACATTAGCACCCTTTAGTACTTGACTAAGCGTATAATTAGAATAATTAGTTATATATGTTAGTACTACTTAGGTGAATGATAGAAATGTCTCAGAAAAGTTTGTTGTTACAGCTTAAACAAAAAACTAAAATATTGAAATTTTTTTTTCGTTCGCATATTTTTTAATATCTTGAATAAAGTGAATGATTTTTGCAATAATTAAAGTGGGTCAAATTTGTCCCGCCGGCGGGGGTGTCCAAGTTCGACGGTTCTAGTGTTAAGTTTCAAAAGCAAACAATATCAATTTTTTTTGTTAATTTATTTTCATGTAAGTGCAAACATAGGAGGAAGAGAATTATATTGGACCTAATGGGTAAAAAGATTTGTCTCTGTACATTGGTGGAATATTTCAAAGTAATAATACATGTAATCGTAAAAAAATGAAATTAATTAGGTACTTCAAAAGACAAACTCGATTGCTTTGTGTCTCATTTAACCATTTATAAAACGACGACATGACAAGATCTCTAAATAAATAGAACTATGTTGTTTTAAATTACATCTTGTTGGCTTTTTGATGGTATAACGTGTCACTTGGTTGTACAAATTTCTTTGAGAATTGGTAATCCGTCCAGTATTTTTTCGCATTTTCCAGAGTGGCAGATTGTGTTGTTTGAAGTTCAACAATACGGTTCAATAAACTTCTGGACAAATGAACTCTCTTAAAATTGACGTAAATATTTTTTCTATTTAATATCCCTTTGTTGTATTCAAATTGAATAGGAATGTCCTCGATATTCAGACTCTTGCCTCTGAATGTATATCTTGGTTCCTACAAAATCAAGTAGGGCTAAATATATAGAAAAGGCGACTGCGGCATGGAAATAATAAAATAGCCAAAAGGACTTATCCCAATAACGACAACTAATTTAAAAAACATCTTTAGTGAAAGTCTGAGTTTTAAATAGTTGTGGTCATTAGGGTAGGTCCTTTTGGTTATTTCATCCCTTCTGGTTAATCTAACATATCAAATTTGAAAAAGCATCTACTATGGGATACGATGAAATGCTTGAATTTCTAAACCCAGCCGCTATATGAAATTTATTTACATTCCTGTAGTCAAGGGGAAGGACTTGTCACTTCGTCCGTGTTGTCTTTTCCTACCCCTAATCAATAAAATAAAAGTATTCTTCGATAAAAGTAATTGAGGGAAGCAGAAGAATGATTTTATAAACAGCAGAACCTCTTTAAGTCGAACCTCGATAAGTCGAAAACCTCCAAAAGTCGAAAAAATATTTTGTTCCCTTCCCTTCAAGGCCCAATACTTCTATTACTCGAAATAACAACCCTGTATCAGTTGAAATAATCGGTGAATCCCTGCAGGCCATATTTTCCCTCTATAACTCGAAAAATTAAATTGGACCTCTGTATCTGGAACATGGCAATGTTTTATTTTACAACCTTTACAGCTCGTTAATTTGAAACTTATTACGTCTACAGTTCGAAGCAAACTAAGTTATCGACTTGCCGACAATGTAACAGCAAATCTTAACCTCAACAAGTCGAATCAAAATCCTCCACAAGTCTAAAACTCTATAACTCGAATTTTTTGGGGACTCCCTTGATGTTCGAGTTGTAGAGGTTCTGCTGTAATTGCTTAGGGCCATACGGTTACTATAGGAAAAGACAATACGAACGAAGTGTGTTGTTATCATGTTCATGTGTTTCCTTGTGTTGAATGCCTGTCCGAAAAGAGTTTCTGCAACGGCTGATGGACAGCTACTAAGAGCGTCTTGATTACCGTAGTAATGAGTTTTGTGATCTTCTTTGGAGGCATCCTCATGAATTTTTTGTACAGAGGATGCAGTTTTCTTTTATCAAGTTCCATCATTCTCTGTTCAACGGAAACAAATGGAGGTAAAGAAATATGAGGCAAATTTTTTTCTTCCAGATTTGCCTCGATTCTTTTAAGTAACAATTCTTCCCTACTGGGCTGCAGTTCTATTATCGGTGGTTTGTCTTTAACAACTATGTGGGAAGTACCTTCAGTTCTAAATACATGGTCGTCGTCACCCAATGCAGAAAGATCAGGATCACAATCTATGGATGTAAATCATAAATTGTAAAATACTCGTATTTTTGAGACAGGAGTCATGAAAGACAAGCGTTTAGTAAGAAAAGATCCAATAAATCGGAACGTACCGGCGTCATGTTCTGCTTTACATTCCGCTTGCTTCTTTAGGTTGAAAATTTCAAATCTCTTCTTTTCATATTTCTCAAAAAAACTAAAAAACGATCGTTTCTTTTTCGGTTTCTTCGCACACGCGCCGCATTTCGGTTCTTTCCTTTTACATAACACGTCAGTTGAATGTGAAAACAGTTTGTCTTGTATTAATCCCTGTGGTCTTTGAAACAGGACCGAACTTCTGATTTTAGTAAGAGACATTGCGAATTTTGACGAGGTATCTCTTTCTGAAAAATTAAATTGTTACGTCACTTTGAGTTGTAAAAATTGCGTTTTGATTATTTACAAGTTGTATCCATAGAAATATCGTTTACTATTAATATCTGTCCAAAGGGTGTATGGTGCAATTTAGCATTTAAACATGTGCAACACGTCGAAAGATTGGCGATTCTTAGTTCAAATTTCTATAAAACGATAACATCTTGGATATCATTAGGTACAGTCGATGTGACAACCAAATAATGCCTATCATATCCGAACTTTGAATTTTGATACGCTACTATATGTGCTAGAGACGTAAATGTTAGTAAAGGAGTCAGACAGGGCTGCACACTATCGCCGCTACTTTTTAATCTATACATCGAAGTCGCGATCAACATCATCAAAGACAGTACAACTATAGGGATAGATATACAAGGGTAAAACATTAGTATCCTTAGATTCGTAGATGATATAGCTGTATTAGCAAGGAGGAGTTAGAGATAGCTTTAAATAAAATGGAAGCGGTATTGACAAAACAGTATTGTATGAAAATAAATTAAAGTAAAACTAAAATACTGATACGCAAGGGCAGAAAAGGTAGAGAAAGAGCGAATATAAAGATAGGAGGACGAAAATTAAAAGAAGTGGCTGATGTTAGGTATCTAGGAAGTCAGATAAGTCATGTCGGAAGGAGTTGTAGGGATATAAAGCAGAGGATAGTGCAGAATTGAGTCGCCTTCAATAAAAAGAAGTCACTTGCACTTCACTATGCTCGCGAACGGTTAATTTAGAAATTTACAGGTGCGAAACATGGACGGTGGACTCAGCGGTTAAAAGGTTAGAAGCATTCGAAATGTGGTGTTACAGGCGAATGATGAGGATACCGTGAATAGAGAAGGTTAGAAATGAAGAGGTATTAGAAAGAATAGAAGAACAGAGGACTGTATGGAAGTCAACAAGAAATAGGCGAGATAGGTTAGTAGGACACTTTCTCAGACATGAAGGTGTAGTCAGAGACATATTAGTGGCAAAAACAGGAGTAAGGAGGAGTAATTGTAGGTACTCTAAACTTTATGCGACAAATAAAGTACACTAAAATAATTTATTTCAGATGATTTGATTTCTCTGAGATTTTAAGATATAATATATAGAAAAAGAGCGGTTGTAAGAATTTTTGCGTAAAATATAATGACAGAGTTACTGAGATCGATAAATAAATAGTTTAATGAGATGCTGTGTAATTGTTGAACAGTGATAATTATTTGTTAAAAGTAATGAAAAATATGTTTTTAAGCAAAATGATCGAGTAAAATAAATTGTACTCTATTTCGACACAGCGTAATTTGTTTTTCTACCTTTAATAGCCAACGTCCTTTTTATTTATATAATAAAAAAGTGGCAACCCTAGACGTGCGTGTCCAACCAGTCTGTTGTCGCCCAGGTTAAGGCGACACTCCTTAAAACTACAGGTGCTTCTTTCTTCTTTCTTACTTACTATTAACCACACAGAAGCACAACGACTTAAAAACTATTTGTACTAACTAGCTAACTTACTATGTAACAACTGGTACTGACTGCAACTGCAACTCTCTCTCTAACTAACAAAAACTATTGTACAACTTTATATAATTCCTTTTATCGTGCAATAAGAGACCAAAGCTCATCAAAAGGCGCGTGATCCGCCCTATTGTCCATCTCACACGTTATTTACCTTTCACATGAGAAACGCAACAGTTTCCGGTTTTAATTGACTTAGCTGAAGTAATAACGTTGATATAATGACAATCGATAAAACCCGAACAAAGAATATTACAAAAGAAAAGTTTGAATAAGTATGTATATCGAAATAATGTTATTTTTAAATTATACAAAAAGATTTATGATTATATTATTAATTATTGATCTACAACAAGTCTGAGGCTTGACGAGTGACGACCTTATGCTGATGGAGGTATTTGCCTTACAGAATCTCACACCACGTTGTAGAATCGTTAGGAATATCCAACGAGTCTGTAATAATTTAACTTTCATACTATGTAATTGACGAAAACGTATTAATTGTTGTTATATTACGCCTAACTACATATGATAAAATTCACTTGAAGTGTGAAGTCTTTTAACAAATGGTGCTTTCCATATTGTATAAGTAGCTGCTTCCGATTAATTAACTGATTTATCCATTTAAGTGGTAACTTTTTTTTTAATAATTGATGGACCGAATTTCACAACCGTTTAACACCCGGACAGTTTAATGATATTATTGTACAGTAACATGCTGTAAATATAGTGGATCTTAAAAACGTTTTATTTATTCTTCCATCCGGCAATGAAAATAGAAATTTTACTGTTGCTCTTAACGCGGGTCGCGCCCAACGAAAAGACTAATAAGTAATTTCGAAATAGCGCATCCGACGTTAGTGTAAAGTAATTAGAGACTTGCGAGCGGCTTGTTCGAACGATAAAAATAAAAAAAAAAGAGATGTCTTTCACTCGTACGTATGTATGTGTAAGTGCATTCCATATGGCGTATGAACGGTGCAATCACGTTAATTATTAGATACTAATAGCTACGGACTATTTCTTGATTGATACTAAAATAGCTATGCTATTAGCTGCGGCATACCGTTTACGCTTATGCATAATTCTAAACGTTGTTAATTGTATACAAAAAAGGATTTTTGTTGTTTGTTGTAGCTAAATTAATTAATTGCACAATTTGCTTCATCGTGAAAGTTACTATAGTATTTTTTTTTTATTTCTTTCTGCTTACGTAAATGGTTTGAAAAAAGATATTTCGCATTAAGAAATTACAAGAGGAAATTGCATTCTAATCGTCAAGAAGATGGGGCGCGGATATTCTTATTTATGACGTGAGCATTAAATGGGGAAAGGATGGTGCGGCAAAATCTCATTTAAATAGATGTTTCTGCTTCTAATATGTCTCTAACTAGTCCTTCATGCCTGAGGAGGTATCTTATCAGCCTATCTACCCCATTCCTTATTGACTTCCATAGAGTCCTCTGCTTTCCTATTCATTCTACTACCTCTTCATTTCTAACCTTCTCTGTTCACGGAATCCTCATCATCTTCATGTAGCACCACATTTCGAACGCTTCTAACCTTTTCTTTTCCACCATCACAAAATAGCTCAAACCCCAACGCCAAAACACGGGAAGTGAACTTCAGTCCCTGAAGAAAATAACTTTGTTACCGAAAAGTGCTTCTGACATCTAAAGTGTCGTGTTTTGGCGTTGGGGTTTGAGCTATTTTGTTTGTTCTACAACAACCGCCAAAGTTTTTCCAGTCTTCATATTTCCACTATCACCTTTAAGAATCGTTTTAATTTTTAAATTAACTTTTCGCGAGCATAGAACTGTCTCGATCCTGCGCTAATCTTTGTTTTGACGTGACAACGTCTTATAATTCGATGGAGCCAGCTACAAGCACGAAAAAACATGACTCATGCGGCGTTACCTCGCTCTGAGGCGTTCCATTTAAGGCTTGAAGTGCAAGCGAGAGCGCGGAGCGAGCGACAAAGAGGCACAATCGGCCTCCGCGTTCGGCAGCGTTCGACATCTGTCTCTCTCCTACTTGAGTGAGCGATGCGTCCGCGTGGACAGCTGCTATACAATAATACATTTCCATTTACCTCCTTCTCTATATCCATACAAAATATCTATCAAACAAATAAAATTAAAATTTTCTTTTGAAAAATGAAACCATTCTATCAGTATTTTATTATGACGTTGTCACGTTCAACTATCGTCAGTAAACCGACTTTACAGACAACCGATTTTATATCTCTACTACTCCTTTCATCCTGAATTATCTGACTTCTTAGATACCGAAAATTAGCAACATCTTGTAATTTTTCGACTTCTATCTTTATCTCCGCTCGTTCCCTACCTTTCCGTCTTCTTCTTTCTCCTTCGTTTTCTTCTTATTCGAGACATTACAATATTTTAATACTTATTTATAAATACACACACGGTCAATAAATACAAATTCCGTATTTTTAACAATTGTGCAACTTGTCGTTTTCTGTGCAACGTAGTAATCGGCTCGAATTTAAGTCGATAATAAGTACATAATTTTCAAGTGCATCAATTTTTTCTATTTTTAATAAGGGGGGCTAAATAAAGATATAGTAGAAGTTAAGAGTGCCAGAAGTAGACTGACTAACTGTCCCCAAACAGTTGTAGGATTCTCTATCTTTCGAGAAAAGCAAAATTGATCCGAGATAAGAAGTAGAGGTACGCAGAGGCGGATTAAATGTCGAGAGCACCCTAGGCTAGCAACTCGTAGGCCCCTCTGGCGGTCATATATTTTGCAAAATAATTTTTGGAAGCAGCAGGTACTTTCTTATTTTTTGTTTTTAGTTTAAAAACTTCCGCGCGCGCCCCTTTCTAACCTTGCGCCCTAGGCATGTGCCTAGCTTGCCTGCCACTGGAGATACGTGTCCGATTAGCCTTCGTGCTGAGGTCTTTATGACTTTGATGAGATGCTCTTTAATATTTTATGATTTATTTTGCTATTCTTTACTACAAATAAATTGCGTTCTTAACAATACCGTTCGTGTTGTAATCTCGTAATCTTGAGTGGAGAGTCTTTTGTGAAACAATGCTCAACTGTTTGTCTTTAATCAACTTGCACCGTTACAATCGTAAAACGCTTGCATTTACGGTGTGGGTGGGTATGACTCCTTTGAATAGAATGCACGCAGTTGTAACGTTTTCTTTGGAAAAGTGACTTAAATAGCGTACACTGCCTGCCTAACAATGCATTTCAAATTAAATTCATTGTATTATAAAGTGTAAGTCCAGACAGTGGCGGTTTGCCCATAAGGCCTGCTCAATTGCGGAACACGTAAAATTTTAATGATAATATTGTCTTGTACAATAATTAGTTATTTTTAATCACTTTGGGTTTCTGAATCCGTTCTTAGGCTAAGCAATATTCAGTCGGAGACGTAGTTAGGTAACCAAACGCCCTGGTGCAAAAAGAAACTGGGGCTCTAACTAAAGTGTTTAGGTTTTATCAAGTCAAAATATAAATACAGTGGATTTCGAATATAACGACGACGAAAGGACCACTGT